TGTAAGCCGCTCTGAGACACCTTCGGGTAGTGAAGGGCGGGGTATAAATCCAATCTCTTCCTCCTCCTCCTCCTCCTAAGTAGGTAGAGGCCTTCATCTGGCCTGTAGTTGGCTGTGTTGTGCATGTTATCAACTTGATCCCTATTGGACATTGCGATGTAGACACGTAGGACAAACACATACTCGGCAATCACTACGAGCACTTTATAGTATTAATTGCATTTAAGTGTATGTAATGTAGGACTGTTTTAGCTTGTTTTAAATTTTTTTTATCTTGGCACATGGTGCCGTTAACTGTGAGCTGCCCTGAGCGTGTCTGCGGGGAGGGTGGGATATAAATCCAATAAAATAAATAAATAAATAAATCACTGTCCAGGTGAAGGCTCTGTGGTCCAGATAAAAATTATTGGAAGAAAAAGGCTGGATTGAAATGATACCAGTTGCCATAGCTTCAGTGGGTGGCCCCAGTAAATCCCTGCTCTGGTTGCCATATCTCAAAACAGATGTCGCAGAGCAGTAAAAAGAGCAGGAGAGGGCAGCCATGAAGATGGGTGGCTTGGAAAGGGGATTAGACAGATTCCATAACAATGGCTATTCGCCACAGTAACAGAAAAGAACCTCCATACTTAGAGGCAGAAAACCCAGGGCTCTTTTTGTAGCAGAAACTCCTTTGCATATTAGGTGACACACCCCTAATGTAGCCAGTCCTCCAAGAGCTTACAGTAGCCCCCGCAAGAAGAGCTCTGTAAGCTCTTGGAGGATTGGCTACATTAGGGGTGTGTCACCTAATATGCAAAGGAGTTCAGCTCTTGGCCTCTCTTACCCTGTTCGTTGTCCCTCCAGGGCAATTAGTGGGCTGCTATGTGAAGCCAGATGCTGGACTGGATGGACCACTGGTGCGAACCAAAAGGGCTCATGTTCTTATGTTCCTGTGACTGGGGGGCTGTGAGTGGATTTCCAGACACATGCTTTAAAGAAAGATGCAAGGGAAGGATTCAGATTGGACCATGGAGCTGGGACAGGAGGTTAAACCGTCCCTCCATTCTTTTTCCAACAGAACATCTCCCACTGCTAACTACTATTATCCTCAGCAGTGGAAAAAGACAGTCATATCCAATGCTCCCTCTAAGCTGTGAAGTCTTGTGAGCAAAAATTCTACTTTGTGAGCTACTGGCATTAAAGTTGTGAGCGGGCGATTTGGCTGCTGCATGAATTAGTTTGCTCTGGGGCCATCCTTCCTGAGCTGAGACAAAAAAAATGTGTGAGCCGGAGGCTAAAAAACTGTGAGCTAGCTCACACTAACTCAGCTTAGAGGGAACTCTGGTCATATCCATTTTTATCTTATTTATTTATTTATTCATTCATTTCATTTATATCTGCCCCCACAAGTGAGCTGAGGGCGGGTCACAACATTTCATTAAACATTTCATCGAGTAAATATAATGGCATTAAAACATAAGATATCACCATAAAACATAAAACCAAATTTAAGTCCTATCAGAGGGATTAACAGGGATTAACAGGGAAGCAGTGTGGTGCAGTGGTCAGAGTATCAGAGGAGGTTCTTGTGGAAGGAGGAGGAGGAGGAGTTGGATTTAGACCCCGCCCTTCACTCGGAGTCTCAGAGCAGCTTACAGTTTCCTTCCCTTCCTCTCCCCACAACAGACACCCTGTGAGGTAGGTGGGGCTGAGAGAGCTCTTTCGAGAACAGCTCGGAGAGAACTTGTGACTGACCCAAGGTCATGCAGCAGCTGCATGTGGAGGCATGGGGGATCAAACCCAGCTCTTCCAGATTAGAGTCTGTCGCTCTTAACCACTACACCAATCTGGTTCTTCTAATAAAGCTCACTGAGCGGCCTTGGCCAAGACACCCTATTTCAGCCTGACATACCTCACCACGTTACTTTTCAGAGGATAAAAGGAAGAGGGGAGAGCAATGTTGTCCTCTGCTTTGGGTCCATGTTTGGGAGAAAAGAAGTTTAGAAATACCTTAAATAGAGAATGAGACAGTTGTATGGTCCTGTATGCTGTCAGGGAACTGGCGTGGGGGTAAAGGCAACCTTTCTTCCATCAGTGCCATTGTCCCAATCCAAATTGCGCTCTGTGCTAGCTTTGTAAAGGATCCGGTCACAAATCC